ACATGTTCATAGAGCTGGGGGAGAGAACATGCAAGTTCTTACCCCTACTACAAACTGGGGGGCCTTGTTGTCTGAGCCCCCACAGGCTGCCTATTGCTTTTCTGCTTTAGGACCTGCAGGATGTGCAAAGGGCTGACAGCCTGATTTACTTTTCCCTCGCACCCAGACAGGGTTTATTCACCCTGCACAAAGCGGGTTTGAGGTGCTGTGAAGCTGGATGTTTCTCTGCAGATCACATGCAAATCCATGGAAGTGCTCGCTCGCATGGCCAGGCTGGGCAGGGCTGAGCTCCACGTGTTGTCAGCTTAGGAATGCATGGTAAACCGAAGTTAGAGCGATGCCCAGCTCTTAAACAGACTGAGTCTCTTTTATGCTAAGGTGAAAGGGCTTTGCTATAAGCCCCCAGAAAGGTTTGGATTGTAATGCAAGGCTTTTTACACCAGCGGAACAGTTAATGTAAAGATGAGTCAGCCCCATCAGAAGCAGCCTTTGTACACTACACAAAATGTCAGCAGATTCTCAGATGGGTAAAGTTCGGCATGACTGATGTGGAGAAGCCTTTATTAACTTGAAATCAGAACAATAGTTGGTTTTATTCCCTTTTCCATTAAATTTTTTTCTGCGTGCATAAACTCAGCTAGACCTGTTGGAAATCCTTTAGAAGTTGTTTCCTCCCATGATAGATGATATGCACATTGGGCAATTGAAATCGCATATGCTCCAAAAAGATCCAGCCTCGCCTTTCCCATTTGCAGCAGGGCAGGACTGAACTTGTCTGCAACTGTTTCATGCACAGGAGAATAAAGGAGAAAATGAATTACGGTTTTATTTGAGTTGAAGGATTAGTTGTGGGATGATAGCAAACAACAGAACAACTCAGACAGGAACAATGCTGCCGTCTCTTAAACAGTTTTATTAGCTTACGCTGATTTGTGAATTAGGAAAACCAAATTATCTGAGGCAAGAGAGTAAGAAACAACAATTAAAAGCCTGCAGGAAAGGACTGGAGAAATAGTGATTTCTCACTGCCTCCTCTTCAAAGCAAGGTGGAGAGCATGACCTTTTGTTAGAATAAATGCACTGTATTGCACAGAGCTCCTTTCTGCTTCTTGGTTTGGCCAGTTTGCAATTGCTTGCTTGTACTGTGGTTCGTACTTGTTGATTGCCCTGGGGTCCAATTTTATTATCTAAATATTCCCCCAAAGTATTTCCTCCTTCTTAGATTTGAGGTCTGTTCATCTCCATTTCACTTCTAATTTGTGAATTCTTTGCCCTTCTTAGGGCTCAGAGGCAGGGTATGCTGCTACATTTGAATAACCAGAATGCTGTGGGACTATGAAAACCAGCCTCCTTGGGCAACGGTTCCTGCTAATAGCAGAAGTGTGGTCAGTAATCATATCTGTAATATGGTTATGAACAGAATGAATAAGATTCAACCATCATATATATATATATATTTATAATGTTGTATATTTGATAATGATTTATTGACCTTGTTGAAACTTTGATGACAAAGTGAGGTTGAAATTTTGTTGGTACTACAAACCAGAGTCACATTGTACTTGTGTCTGTATTTTCCACGCTTTCAGAATAGTTGCTCCAAATGTAGACAAGGGTGAAAGAAAGCTGTTTGTTCTGGAACGGAGGATGAGTTATTTGCCTGATGAAGCCCACTTCCTTCCTCAATGGTCCCTCAGAGCTAAAACTCATTCCCCTTCTCCACAAAGAGCAAAGTGCCAGATACTGCGTAGTAAAAATTGTCCTGGTTGGAGCATGAGCACTCAGTGGCCAGGAGAGGAGTGTGCTTCAAGAAGCAGGGTGTCTGTGTGCATGTCCTGAAGTTTGTGCAGTGCTGTTTTTACATCGTAAAGATGTAAAAATAAAGATGGCTGGGAACATTTATAGGCAACTTGCCTCTTACAGAAACAACTGCTAAAGGGTAAGGTCAAGCACATCGCTGCAGATGAAACTAGCTTATGAATTTGCAGGGTATCATCTGCTCCCCAATAACTGGCTGTGTGCATGGTGCATGTATATGCACTCTGTGGTAAATACCAGCTCTCTCACCCTTCTTCCCCTTAGGGGTTGGTTGCCTTGCTTCATGCCATCTTTCCCGTGAAATGAGTGCATGTGCAAGGATAGCTGCTGCAGATTGCCAGTGCATGATGTCAAACCGGTGCTTCTTATTGACTTGTTCTGGTGTCCTCATGCTGGAAGGAGCCTGCAACACAAACTGGAAACTGGTGTCAAGATAACTGCATATTTAGCATGCAGGGCTTTTATTTCCATGACTTGAGTGTTTGTACAGTCAATCATGGCTTTGTTTAAATTGAAATCAGAATCCTCATCCAGCCTATTGAAGTTAGTAGAATGACATTTGCTGACCAAAGTGAGCTTCAGTGCAGTGTTAGGGGTGGCTTTCTCTGGAGAGTGGCACAAAGGAATAGATGCAAGCAGGATTTGGTATGGGTGATAAGACATGCCTGGAATAAAAACCTCTGCTCGTATTAAAAATAGTTGGAAGCTATGTAATTTTTGCTGAAATGCTAAGTATTTCCTGGCAGTTCTTTGCAATCCATGTTCAGATTCACCAAAATGTTGAATAACAAGAGATATGTGTTGGGTGATTTTTTGAGGGAAGTAATGAAAATTAAGAATGAACTTTTTAGAAATGTTTTAATTGCCAAATTACTGGGGGGAAAGAACCAGAAGAACTGATTTTGAAAATCATGAAATGTTTCATTTTTAACAATCAGGCACAAAATGTTTTAAGTATTTTGAGAGGTTTTTGCTTTTTTGTTACTTTGAAATTCACCTAATTTAAAAAGAAAAAAAAAGTCACAGAATTGTAGAATGGCTTGGGCTGGAAGGGATTTCAAGGATCACCAAGCTCCAACCCCTCCGCTGCAGGCAGGGCCACCAACCTCCCCATTTAATACCAGCCCAGGCTGCCCAGGGCCCCATCCAACCTGGCCTTGAACACCTCCAGGGTCGGGGCATCCACAGCCTCTCTGGGAAGCTGTTCCAGCACTTCACCACTCTCATAGTAAAGAACTTCTGCCTGACATCCAACCTAAATCTTCCCTTCTTCAACTCAAAACCATTTCCCCTTGTCCTGCTGTTACCTACCCTTTCAAAGAGTTGACTCCCCTCCTGTTTGTAGGCTTCCTTTAGTCTGTAGTGAGGTCACCTCACAGCCTTCTCAGTTGAGTATAAACTGTTTGAGGTTAAACAAAATGTTGAGGGTCGACTTAGAAGTTGTATTTTACTCCTTTTGGTTGGATTTCTATCATTACAAAGCTTATAAGACCACGTCTGACTGTACTGCTCTGTCAAATAAACAGCAGAGTCCCATTTTATCAGAGAGGAGGAGTTGTTGACCAAAGTCCTGAGCCTGGGTATCCAAAAGATCTTGAGGTTACAGTGCCTGAGGCACTGAGGAGCTGTAATTCTAGGTCAGGGTTTCTTAATGAAGAAGGCTTTTGTAAGAGGTCTATTGCATTGCTACAATCCATCAGGGAGATGTGTGCAACTAAGACCAGTCATCGTCGTCATTGCCAATGTGCAGTGGAGAGTCACAACCAGGTGGAAGAGTTAGCAAACATTTATGGGCACTACTTTTTGAGGACTTCACCTCAGCCAGTGAACTGTGGTAGTCTTACACCAAAGCTGTCTGGATCAGTTGGGCAGTTGTTGGTTTGGGTTTTGGAGGGTTTTGTTGTTAAACTGAAAAGGGCTCTCTGTGGGCTGTAGCTTTGAGTGTTTCCCTCGCCTACTACCATTGCGTTGTCTTCCCTTTACTCTTCACCCATGAGTGCTCTTGTCTGTCTGTCTGACTTGTTTCCTGCCTTCACGTAGGGTGAGATTCATCTGCATTCATCTGTAGTCATCCAATCTGAGCTAAGTGTCTAGACTGACTTTATGGAGGGAGAGAAGTAGACCTTTCTGGAGAATGATTCATTCTGTCCTAAAGCAGATGTTTAAGATAAGTCATATTAATTATTCTCTAGGTTGCCTACCGTTCTGCACTGGGCTGAGGTTATCTCAGGTGTATGTCTTTGTTTTGCACACATATGTACGTGGATTCCACTGCAGTCCTAATAGGGTGGATTCTCTGTAAGTGAATCCTGAAATAACATACTAAATGTTTGAGGAGGCTTATGTCAAAGAAATAGGAAGAGTTTGTAACAGGACAGGACACCAACAATTTGAGAAGCATTGATAGCCTGTGGGAGCCCAACTGAAGGAAAAAAAGGCTGAATTTGGGCCATATGGAAATACACTCTGTGCTAAATATTGATTGTGGAGTTCCATTAAAAAGGTAGCATGATGGGTTTCCCAAACTGCTGTAAAAAGGCGCAGGGTAACTTGATGTCTGGTATGTAGCTGGTAAAAATAAAATTAAAATTAAGAGATAGCTTGCAGAAAAATACAGTCAAACAAATAAATATGAAAGAAAGGCACAGTATTAAAGATTTCAGCTGTGTAAAAATACTTCCCACTGAAGAGTAGCAATGTGTGTATGCATATTTTTGGTTTCAGTACTCCTCTGTTGCAGTATTACAGATAACTGCAGGAAAAGATAAGTGCTCTTGTTCCTGGAGAGAAGTTCATGAGAAACAAAAGTATTCCTGGATCTTCTTGGACTTCCTGGGCTTTACTTGCAGACATTATTCGAAACGACCCAGAGTAGCTGTTTGTTTTTTTTTTCCCTCACTTGTTATAGCAATTGAATTATCCAAGAACAGTTTCATTATGCTTCAACAATTCTGAACTGGGTTTTAATTGTTGGTAATAAGGATGTAGAGCAAATGACTCTTACTATTCTAGATCAGCATTTGACATACGTGCTACACTGAAATCTTCATCTTGGTAGCCCATTAAAAATGCATTTTCTACAAGGAAATGTATGAATTGATTGTGCATTTGCTGAAGAGCTGTATAGATTTTCCTCCTTTTATTTCTCATTTTCCTTAGTTTGTTTTACTTATCTTTTACAGCTCTATCTCACCTTATTTGGAAGAGGAAAGCTATTGAGGACCTGTGAGCAATCCAACAGCTTCTGAAAAATCTTCATGCTAAAGGATAATCCTGAGCTCCCTGGAGAAGAACATAGTGAATGTTGTGAGTTCCTAGCAGCAATAATGTGTATTTGTGTTGTAACATTTGCTCCAGTACCTGGGATGTGTTGGGCATCTTTTTGCTGTGCTGAAACCAAAGAGCAGTTGTTTGGAGGTTAGGCTGCAAAACCAGACTTCTAATTTCTCTCCCTCCCACTCTCTTCTTCTACTTCCTTTATTTTTTTTCATGACTTCAAGGGCAGAATAGTGATAACTGAGGAATGATGTTGGGTTTCTTTACCTTGGACCATTACAATTATGTAATGCATCATTATTGTTTTTTTAGCTAAATCTGTAATCTTGCTTTTGAAGGCCTTGTGATGGTGTAGCCTAACAAAAATGAAAAATATCATGGATAACAGTTCAACATACAGTTCAGATTCGGTAATTTTATATCTGGTCATACATTGATTGAAATCATTTGACTGCTTCCAAATTAGAGGTTATTTGCATCTGATATTCCAAATTTCTGTTCCTTTGATCAGTTTGCTCTATTAAATCGAGTACTGTACATTTCTATACAAATATTCCTCCTGGAAATTTGTGTTCATGGGAATTGGAGTAGTCTATCTTCAGAGAGAAAACATTCACACAATTAAGGCTTTGGTCCTTCAGCCTTTAAAAAAAGAGACCCTTCCATGAGTGAAGGCTAAAGAGAAGGCATAAATATTTATATGCTCATTGTTTTTCTTGTGAAGCTCACTGCGTTTCTGGATTGAAATGGGCAAATGTGCCAATCAGATGTAAACATCCTGAAAAGCAGAGGAAATGAGAATTCTCTGCCTACCAAGTCAGAGAATAATCCTTGTTTTGTGATCTTAAGAAACCCTGAAAATTTCAAAGTTAGGTAAGTTGATATTTGAACCATTGTTGAGTAGCCCTTCAGGATGTCAGTGATGATAACACAGCTGCAGTTCGAGTAAATTAGTTGTGCTTTCCTTAAATTTAGTAAATGAGACTCTTTTTTTCTGACTCCTATGCATTCCTTCTAGCTCCCTGGAAGTCAGAAGCCCCCCTTGCTTACATGTTTGGGTTGCAGGCTTTGGGAGCAGACTGAGATAGAACCTAAGTGGTGCTGCTTTGTAGAGGCTACTTGCAAAACAAACGCTACAGGAGAGACAGAGAAGCCTTTGTCGTCTTTCCTCTTTCCTGCATGCCATGATCAACAGTGAAATAGTTAACAAGGCTAACGTTTGGAATTGTTAGTAACTAGTAACACTAAGCTGCTGAGTTAATACCTCACAAAGATGAATAAGGGACCTCTGAGACCTGGAGCTTCTCACTGTCTGTGTATCCAAGCAGCTGTAGCCGTATCAGCTTATTCCCACACTTTGAAAGACTCCTTTGAAACCACAAGGGCTTACTTCGCAGACTGACGTCCTAGAGCAGAGGGGAGCAGCCTTAAAGAATAATAATGATGATAATAAACTGCTCTAGCGTGTGAAGCTGTTGAGATAGCGGGAGGTGTTTCCTGAGGATGTCTCAATCATCTCTGCTGATTGCAGCAGCAGCAGCACTGCATGTGAGGAGAGCATTCCCTGGGTGCTATACAGACTGGGTGTCTGGGATCAGCCAGATAAGCTTCATGAGGAGGGAACGAACTGTCAGCTGGAGGGAACTGCAGAGGATGGAGTGTCTATGCGAGATGCTGGTGTTGTGATTATTACATTCTGCCCTGTCCTCAGTGGTTTAAAATAAGCCCACTGCAAGTGTAGTGCTGATGCCTGCTGCTGAGGTGCCGAAACCCTGAATTACACTCATGAGGCCCTGGTTTGTGAAGAAAAAGTAGGACACCTCCCCAGGTACACATAGTATATATTGCTCTTGAGAATGGCTCTCAGCCTGGCATTGGAGATGGATGTTTGGAGGGTCACTCTAGGCAATGGAGAGCTCTTCAGGAGTTCCTTATGAGTGTGTTTTGTCACCTTGCTTTGCCTACGGGACAGAGTGGGGCAAGGTGGCATCAGCTGAGCTCCTCTTCTTCCAGCATTGACCTCTCTAGCATACAGAAGTACCTGGAGCCAGGGGGGTGGCACTGCTGCCGTTTGTGCTGGAAGGAAATGCCAGCACACAGTGATTTTCCTTAAAAGCACTGCTCTCCTTTCCCTGAGTGTTTGCAGAGTGTTGTCACGTTAAGACGCAGGGAAAGCACGGACCCTCCCTGCTGCTCTCATCCCTTCCGCCTCCTCCTCCTGCCACCGAAGCAAACTTCAGTGCGGGGGGGTGGACAGTAAGCTGGGACCAGCGTCCCGGATCCACCTAGAAACTGCCTGTTTACTAAACAGCACCACGTTCTCTCTTCCTCTCTCCTGCCCTCCTCATCTGGATGAAGTAAAGTGCTGGGATAGCAGAGCTTATACAAATCAAGTCCATATTCTGCTTCTGCAGGGAGAAGGAGAGATGTCAGGAGGATTTTTTAAGGAGGACTGCTACTTCCCGTAGCTAGGGAGCAAAACAGAGGAAGGTGAGGCTGCTTTGCTGTTGCAGTAGGGTACCTTGTGAGTTCCAGCATAAGGTTTTGTAATTCTCTGGTGAAGCGTAGGTACTCTCAGTTTTTTTCCATCCTAAAAACGTACGCCACTTTTTTTTTGGGACTGCTAGCCACACAAGCACAATTCTGACAGGAGCAGTGAAGAAACTGCATGTTTCTCACTCGTGGGCTTTTCTTCATGTGTGGTGATTTTTTGTTTGTTTTTTTTTTTTTTTTTTTTTTTTTTTTGCACTTGTGCTGAAACCTCTGGTACACTTAGTGGGAAACGGAAAATAAATCTCTAAACCCGATATGTGTCAATAACCAACACTTGTGTATTCAGTTGATCTCGTATCTGGAGCTGTTATTTTGGGCAAACTGCAGCTGATGGGGTAGTAAACACTCCTGTGCCTTTCTCCTGCAGCCTCCCAGTGTGTGTCCTCGGAGGGGAGCTGCCCGCAGGAGGGCATCTCCAGGGCTGTGTTCAGCCCCAGCCCCATTCTCAGCCTTCCCAGCTCCTTATTTCCCTCTTTCGCTCACACTGCTCCCCTGGCAGCCCTCGCTCCTGTTTTTCCTGGCACCCTGCACGTTGGCTGGGCCAGGAGGGAGCAGCTCCTGGGGTTGATGTCAGCACTGCTTCCTGAGCTGCTGCCGAGGGCACACGGCAGCCCAGGCACACCCTTTCCCTCGAGCATCACCTGTTTCTCCTGCCCAGGCTGCCGGCGTGGCAGCCCCTCTGAGGGGAAACCCAGAGCCATTGGGGTTGGCAGCGCTTTGCTGAGAGCACTGTCAACACCGAGTCCGCTGCGTGGTTGAAATTGATGCACGGTGACTGTGATGAGCAGCACGCACCTGGCAGAAGTGAAGGGAAGTTGTGTCATATGCAGCCTTCGCGTCTCTGAACGCATTTGCTTTTGTAGCTGTGTGCTCAAGCACTTCATAGTTTTCCATCGAAATCACCAGGCTGCTGATGAAAGAGTTTTGTGTGTCCGTTCTTCCCAACAACTGCCCAGTGCCTGCTGCTCTATATTCACAGGGGGAGAGAGAAGAGGGAGCATCGCTGTCATTTGAGAAAAGTCCCTCTGAACAGCAGTAATTTATTCCCAGGCATTATTCTTCATTAAGAGCTACAGACAGCTGCAGCTTCCCTTTAAATAGAAATTGCATTCTGTAGGCATGCTATACATAGGGCTTCAGGTTTCTGACATTTCTCTGCCAAAAATCAGAAGTATTTCTCACCAAATAAATGTTTATTCAGAAAGTCTTATTTCCTGGCTTCTATTTCACATCACATGCTTCCGACGGATGGACCAGTGTGGCTCAAGGCTGACATTTGGGAGAGGAAGTTGGAACAGTTTGGGTTTCTTGCAACGCTGCAACAAAGAAAAGCCTCTGACCGTAACTCCAGCCTTAGGTTTGGCAGCTTATTTTAACAATTGAATGCTGGATTACAGTGGGTGCTGCAGAAGACCTTCTCAGTGCAGCACATGGGGCATGTTCGGGTGGCTTCAGCCCCATAGAGGAATGTGTGGTGACAGTGCCCTCAGACTTGAGTGCTGAGGGACCACCTTGAGGTCAGCTGCCTCTTTATCCATGTCCATGCACTGTCTCCTAACCTCTCTCCTGATGTCTTTTTCAACCCAAATCGCTGAGCTTCCCACTCCCTCACCTCTGTTGCTGATCTGCTGGCTCCATGCTTTCCATTGGTGTGCCAGCCCCAACCGCAGCGGCACTTTCCAGTTGTAGCAGCCCCAGTGAGTTGCCTTTTGTAACCAGTAGACATGCTGTGCCAGTCACATTCAAGGGATCCTCCTCCTGCCTCTGCCCCCTTTGTTCTTCCTACACCCCAGGCACCCCTACATTGCAGTATGCAATCCATATATTAAACTAATCATTAGTTAGGCCAGTCGTTACTCAGTGGCCTTCTTCTTGGCCGGTAGAGCTTCCAGAGAGCTGAGAAGTTATAATTTCTCCAGGGCTAAAATCCAAGTCTTTGATAGGCAGGCATGGTGCCTGGGGCCACTACATGTTGCTACCGGTTGTCAGCTCTGTAAAACTTACCCTGCAGAGCGAGGAAATCTGGGCACAAAGATCGTTCTCTTCTTGTGCTGTGGCGAGCTGCAGTTTCCCAGCCTGCTACGCCTTCCCTTCATTGTCTTCCAAGCAAATGGCTGTAAGATTATGACTCCCATGTTTGGACTGAGAACAGCTTTTGCCTGAGCAAACAGATTTCTCTTTGGCAGTCGCTTTAGCTGCTGCCCCAGCTTTTTGCTGTCAGTTCGGTTTCATGATTTGCTGTTAGGAAAGTCCAGGCAGTCATAGTGTACTGGAGCGAGTAAGCGAAGCAAGGAAGGCAGGTGAATTGCCTCTGTTAATGATTACAGTGCCAGGGTGCTGCCCTGTGCTCTGCAAGGAAGAAGCATCTCTGTAGTTCAGTGATGTTCCTTGCAGTCATTCTTCTTTTTGACTTGGTGCTGTTAGCTAGAGAAACTTCAGGTCCTTGCTGGCAGCGCACCCTGATGTGAGGGGCTTTA